TTTTTTTTTTTTTTTTTTTAATTAAAAAAGTATTTCCCTGGTTTTTATGTCTTCAGCAACGGAAGCAAGAAAAAGCAAAACTTACTCCTGGAGTGATTTATGTGGGCCACCTGCCTCCAGCACTTTACGAAACCCAGATCCGAAAATATTTCTCCCAGTTTGGCACTGTTACCAGATTAAGGCTGTCCAGAAGCAAAAAAGTAAGATGTTTGTATCAAAGTAGGTTATTTGTTTTCTTTTTCAAAAGTACATCATCCTTACAGCTTCGAGAGCATGTTCATGTGTTATTGCTTATCAGACTTCACTCCAGAAGGGGGGCGTGGGTGAGGTTTAGAACCTGAAACAACCATAAAAACAGAGTCAGTATTACTGTAAATGTTCGTTTTACTATTAAATGGAATAGTTGCCCCAAATCCTCAAATTAAATGGGCAGTTTTGCTAAGTGAATCATGTTTGTCCTATAGCTACTAAATCAGCCGTACATGAACTTCAGTTTGAGGAGCAGGTTCACACCTCTTGTATTAGCCTCTGGTGTGTGCATCCCTAGAACAGCAAAGGTATGTGCAGTAAATCATAAAGAGCAGAGACTGGAGCCAGACCACCTGTGTTCAAGGCCTAGCTCCCACAGGTTACTAGTTGTACGACCTTGGAGAAATTATTTAACCTCTCCATGCTTTAGTTTTCTGGTTTGTAAAATATGAGTAAAATAGCATCAACATCCTAGGAGTATCTAATCAAAGATGAAACAAGGTACTGAATGTAAGGTTCTTAGGACAATGCCTGATACACACAGTAAACCCTGTGTTTATGTATGTGTATATGCTGTCGTAGTGTCATTTCTACCTTCTAATTTAGAAAGGTTTATGTGGTTTGTTTCAGTAATAGAGGAATGGCTCGGTTTATTTTCTTACTGCACACATACACTTTTGTTGGTTGTAACCATAGAGACTTCTCATTGTTAGAATCTTTATTTTTCTTGATGCAGTTTTTCTACATTGTCCCACTTGAGTTATAACAGATCAAAGTTAAATTTTATATTTTATTTGGCACATGAAGGGATAGGGCCTGCATCCATCATCTGCTAGTTGTCCTAAAATCACAGGTATTAAATTTCGTCAAAGCAACATCTCAGCATTAAAGGGGATTTTTAATTTAAAATGCCCTTGTATTTCTGTCATCCTAACCAAAATAACACATTTTCTCTGTATTCCTCCCATTTTTCCCCATTTGCCTATTTGTAATGGTTGGCTGTTACGTGGGTAAGCTGTTTCAAATGTCCTGAAGTCTACTAGAGAATGATTTAGTGACTCTTTAGGTATCCACCATTTTCCTTTATCAAATGTCCACTTGATCTCATACTTGCTTCAGATCTTTATTCTTTCAGAAATAGATTTTAGGTAGACTTGAGGCCCCTTTGGTACCCTTCCCCAGTCCTCTGCACCTTCTCCCCATGCCTGGGAAATTACTGTTCATGAATGCAGGGTTTTTTATTGCTGTATGTATTTTGGAAACCTATACTACATGTATCAGTGTAGATTGTATAGTATTCTTATCATTCTGCAACTTAATTTATTCATTCAAGAGTTCATTTTGAGCTTCATCCATGTAACTCTGGTACATTCATTGTCATTGTTGTGTTCCTTTGCTTGAACTTACTCAGGTTTATTTACCTACCTTCCCACTGAACATTGGGTTTCTACTATATTTCACTCCTATAGGTGGAGCTGCTGCAAGCATTCTTCGCACAGGCGTAGACAGCTTTCTCTAGAATAGTATTTTTTCAGACTTGGGCCCCGAAATAAATACTTTTTGCCCTAACTGGTTTGGCTCAGTGGTTAGAGCATCAGCCCTTGGACTGAAGTGTCCCGGGTTCAATTCCAGCTAAGGGCATTACCTGGATTGCAGGCTCGATCTCGGGCCCCGACCGGGGTGAATGCAGGAGGCAACCAATCGGTGTATCTCTCTCATAT